CTACTTTCTCCTTCAGCTGACTTCATGTCCCTGAACAGGAGCATCTGCTTTGCTTTAAGCAGAGAACAACTTACAAGGTACTCATTCCTAATATAGACCACTGCAAATGTATTGAAATAAATAAGTAAAGTTGACCTTTAAATGTTGTTAATCTGAAAATGATGGTAATCTTCTAAGTACCTGACTATGTCAGAACCTAACTGCTCAACCTTTTGGTTTAAGTGTGGATAAAGAGTCTGTTTTTGTTTTGTATTTTTCAATTGTGCTGAAGGATCGAACAAGGCAGGCAATTAACTTTGTAATCTTAATAAAATTAAATCTCATTTAAATTCGTAATGATTAAACTGAGCTTAAAGATGTATTATGACAATACACAAAAGAAATGCGTGCATTTTATTAGTTTGAATATAACATTCAAATTAAATAGATTTTTCTGTATTTACTGAATGACACAAAATAATTTATGATGCATATTGTAAGTAAAAAAAATGAAAGCATTCCTTAGCATGAATTTCAGCAGCTGACATGCCTGTGTACTTTTTTTTACTTGTTTATTTTTGTCTAAATAATCCAAATAGCTTAAATATGGAATAATGACCTGCCTAGAAATCTTGGATTAACAGTCCCACAAACCAAATTAGACATCGTAGCTTCATTAAAACGCCCAACAAGAAACTTTTGTATTGATTTAAACCAAACAAATGCTTCACCTGTACAATGGAACACATTTATTCTGCTGCAGGAGAAATAATGAGCCCTTTAATCAAAAGAGAATTTGGATAAGTGGAATATCTGGTTACAACAGAGAATTAAAAAAAATGCTGATAATTACTGAGGAATTAATGCAGTAATTAGTTTTTACACATCACTTCCTAAACTAAATCAACCAAAAACAACCAATAATATCTAATCCTTTCAAAGAGGCTTTTAAGTTCACCTGAGCCAATTAGACGTGTTTGCTTAACTGCCTCAGATGGACTGTGGTTCTTTACTGATCCCTTTCATCAATGCTCAGCCCACCTCATGCATCAACCTCAGAGATGACAGGCCAGCAGCTCCGTGGACATGAATTAACTATAGGATGCAGCAAGTCTTGTGCTATAGCGGTTGACTGATGTGCCATGATAACTCCCAGGGTCATTACATGACGTTTAAGTTGATAGATTTGATCCACAGATGGGTAATTCTCCATCTGACAGCCTCACTCCATTTTACAATGATGAAAAGCAGACCTGATGAATGCTTTGCCACATTTCCCAGCCGAGGTCTGTTTTAGGCTGAACAGCAATTTTTAATCATGTCATGTCAAATGAGTTGTGGATCGTAAAAACTTGGGGAACACACAGTGTGAAGAAAATGAAGACAGAAGCCCTGTTATCTCAGAGATTGTCCAATAATGTCATCAAAGACCAATCGTCTTTACGCCGCTGTGTCTCGACGGTACGTATTTATACTGATGCAAACGCAGCCAACGTGCACGCATGCACGGACTGCAAGACGAGGTGGTGCTTAATCTGAATTTCTTTACATGAAGTAAGAATCTTGGAACAGGTTTTAACACAAATATAAAATACAGGAAAATGCAGCAAAATGCTTATTTTTGTAGATCACTACATTTTAATGCAGATTGATGTTTTCTAACATTGAACATGATGTCATCATGCAAGCTTTGACTCAATTCTGGAAAGGTGATCTCCTTAAATGTGAGAATGTTCAAGCTGCAACTCTTATTCTATACAGAGGAATCCACCTCACACAAGTCATAGATCCCTTTTTTTAAAGTATTATTGTTGCTTTTGCTGCAACGTTCTGAGTTATTAAACTAAAAAGAAGCCATGTAATTGTTCAAGGATGTAGAGAAAAGCCTGATTGGATGAATTTATTCAGATTTTAAGCAATTTACAAAAAAGTATTGATTTAAAAGAGTGTAAATGCTTGCTGGTGGCCTGCAAATAAAATAAAATAAAAATTTACATTTTAATTACCACCAAAATATAATTAATTTGAAAAGTGTTGGCACCTTCCACCTGCAGTCTTTTGAATTTCCATCAGAGGGCAGAAAGCACGTAATGTTTCATACAGCAATCTGAAGAAAGTACCAATGCTGTTAAAAAGTCTTACATTCACCATTACATAGTGCACATGACTTCCTGTGCAAATTTCATTTTAAAAGCAATCATTTATAAGCCTGATATTCAATGGTCATGCAAAGGTCTTAAAGCTGTTATGGCAAATCTGCAGACAAGTTAAGTTTGGAACACAAACACGGTCGCAGAGCACTCACCCCTCCCCTCTGTATCTTCCCTGAGACGCTTCGGCAGAAAACAGAAACCCGCAGAAACGAGATACTTCTAAACACCTGTCACCGTTTTATAGGTCCAAATATATTTCGTTGTCCGTGACAAATTATATTTTTCTTTTCAGGATTCTGGGACTTTGTCCTAAAGTTAGGGATGGGTACCTTTGACATTTGGATCGATCTGGTACTAAATCCCGGTACCTAGGAATCGATACCGGTACTTAACGGTACCAATTTTCGATACTTTTGAGTGTTTAATAGTTTAATTCTCTTTTATAATTAAATATATATTTTCTCAATATATAACCATATTTGATAAATATCACGATAAATAACGTACAACTGTTTGTATTTTAACATCGTCCTTGTAGTTTTATAAGCTGATAATTAAACTGAAGCAAACATCTCTACTGTGAACTAAATTTACTGTGTATCTTCATTCCTTTTGCCGTCCTTTTTCTTTGATTTTTCCTACTGGGAAGGTAGAATTTCCGAGGATAAAGCGAACGTACCATCAGCTGATAACAACGGTGGCAATGGAAGCTAACATATCAAGCTAACGTTATCTTAAACAGTTTATTTAGCTGCTGGGGCAGATTAAAACCATGATGCCTCACTTTGAGATCGTTGTCACTGGTTTCATCTTCACCCAATCACCCGTCGCATTTAGTAAAGTGAAGCCAAACTTTAGAGCGCATTCATGTTCTTCTAGTTGGAAATTCGGAGTTCCGAGGAGAAAGCGAACGCACCATTAGCGGAACGGAAGCTAACATATCAAGCTAACGTTATCTTAAACATTTTATTTACCTACCGGAGCAGATTAAGATGAGGATGTCTCACTTAGATCGTAGTCGCTGGTTTCATCATCACCCAGTTACCTCTGTTTACAACCGGCTCGCAACGACTGACAACATAACGCTCTTGCACATGCGCAGCTGTCTAGGCAAGTTCTCGTTATGAAGGACGGGTACCGAAACGAGGCACCGTTTCAAAAGATGTGAATCGGTGCTCAGTCGGTACTGTGGAATTCGGTTGGTACCTTAAAAAGTACCGAATTCTGTACCCATCGCTACCTAAAGTTGAAGTAGCAGCAGCCAGTTGTTTTATCCTTCTCTGAAATTATTGTGTCCTGTTGCTAAATACGTGGGTCCGAAACGAAGGAAGGACCCAGAGAATTGCAGCAGTTTGGCGGGACTGATGGTTCAATAGTTACTTTCGTTTGTTTTGTTTTCTTTTTGTTTTTACATCTCTATGATGAACATAGAGCTATACTATGTTAGAACGTAGTTAAGAGGCATGACATAAAATGTTTTGTGCAAATTTGTTATTTCCAAATTAGCCACTGCAGCTTTAAAAGAATGTGGTTCCCATTCTCCATCAGTCTGCAAAGTCCAGAAGATCAATGTCAATGTTTCTAACATGACACGGCTTTTAACCTTCGGACTTTATGCTGGTCACAGAACAGGCTGATTAATCAATACAGAAAGGGCTGAGCTCGGAGTACCTCATCATTGATTCTAACGGTAAATGAAAAAGGGTCTCAGTAAAGTAAGCCAAGTGCTAAGACATTTTGCAAACACAAAATAAAACTATGTTGCCTTAGAATCCTAATAATATAACATTATGATGTGTTTTTTTAATGGGAAAAGCGAGTTGTTACTGTTTTTAACCATGTGTCTCCCTGGCTGTTTAGATGCTAACTTTAGTTTTATTTATTTATTTATTTATTTATTTATTTATTTATTTATTTATTTATTTATTTATTTGCGATACTCTTCTGCCCTATTTATGGATCATCAGTCTTTCCTGCCTGGGAAATGCTTTGTAAATAATTAATGATCACAGCCCATTGCACCCGTTAAGCTGTCTGAGACGTCATGTCTACACATACAAATTCTGTACCAACATACATGTAATAATGAATGCATCAGAGTTGATTGATTTATGTCCCCATTTAACAAACTTTTTCCAAATCATCTCAAAGCACAAAAATACTCTCTTTAATGATTTAATGAATGAAAAATAGAAATAAATCTTCATATGCATGGAGATTTGGGCAGTTTAAGATCGAAACGCCTATATTAAAAAAAGCCCCTGATGCCCCACCACTGTTTTTTTTTCTTTCTTTTGATCACACATCTGCACATACAGTATTTCCTCATACTGTGAGATTCACGTCACTGCAGCAGCTGTGAGGTCTGTTAGATTCACAGTAGACAAACAAGTGCACACAACACAAACACACAGTGGCAACAAAACACACACACACACACACACGAGTTGTGGGGATATCTCTTCTTCCTGGTCCATCGACCCTGCATGGCTGCTCTCAGCTGGATACGTGTCATCCACAGCAGCCTTGCCTGTTAGGGGCAGAGTGAGGGCTGTGAAGGGTGTAAAGGAGGTGTAAATAAATAAGTGTAGAACTAGAATAAAAAAAGGGAGATGTGGGAAGGGGAGCTTGGAAGAAACAAATACGGGAAGCTAGAGATGGGTGAGGTGAGCTGTGTGTGTCCTACTCTCTGATTTAAGCAGGGTCAGGAGGGAAACAAGCTTTTCTGTCAAATGTTACTCTGCATAAAAACATCCAGGGAGAAGGGTCAGTTAACAACCTGCACACCTGTTTTTTTTTTCATTTATAGTCCACCTCCCTTAAACTGTTTCTTAATCACCTTATGTGTGTTCCCATCTTTTCTCTAAGGTGTCTATGATGATGTGATGTGCCAGCTGCTCTGATTCCTCTAAAATCAGGTAGGACATTTAACAACACTATATATACAGAGTCCTGATTATGGCAATTTTTCTAGGTATTACATTACAGAATTCTGGGGAAATATACAACTGAAGGCTTCTTGTGCTGTGAAAGAATGTTTGCCTCTTACAGATTGCTCCTATTTCATGTTTTCTGTCATGCTTAAATGTGAACTTGAAACTCGGTACTGGACAGAGATACTGTGATTTAAAGCAAAATGAAATTATCAAATAATAATTTTCTTGATTAAGGGGGGGAGCTACCCAAATCAGACTGATGACACTTATAAGGTAATTAGAGAGATGCTTTACTACTTTTTCATATTTTTAAATAGTTGTCTTGGGCCAGTATGTGCTAAAACTACCCTTTAATTGTGAAAGGGTTAATGAATTGTCACGCAGAACCCCAATGGTATATATATATATATATATATATATATATATATATACATACATACATACATACATATATATATATATATATATATATAGATAGATAGATAGATATATATATATATATATATATATATATATATATATATATATATATATATATATATATATATATATATATATAAGTATCACACTTTAGCTTTGCTTGCATGGTTGCTCTTGAGACATAAAGCTTGGACTGGGAACATTCAAAGAGGTTATAAGGAAGCAAACATTCAGTTTCAGTGGATGCCTTGGGAGCAGTGTAAAACTACTGGGATGTATTATTTGGCCGATTTCATAAACATTAACTATGAGAGCTAGCAGATGCAGTAAGACATGTCAAAATACAGCATAGAGTAAAGCTTTTATTGCATACTTAGTTTAATCAACTGTATAAAAAGTTCATATTTGACAACACACACGTTCATGAGCTTGCACACAAACCGACAAGCTTAGAACAAACAGAACCCTGCGTCCTCCTCAATGGGCTCATTATAAAAATCCCTCATTGTGTTTGTCTCAAAGCGGTCTTTAATAAAGAGTTTCAAAAGTTTATTCCCATGAACTCTTTTTTACTACATTTTTTCTTTGCTAAAAGTAAAAGAAAGCCTACAATCTAGAATGCTTTAAAACATGACCGTAAATATAGTGTAGTGTTGGGGAAAAAAACTGGCCACAACCTAAATAAACATTCATGCCATATAATCTCCTAGTAATTAAATAAAACATAATTATGTAGTGAACCTGATTAGGCTCTGCCAATTATGTAGAGTAATGGTTTATGCTCTTTTATGAAAGATGAACCATTCTACACTTTAATTTGTGATATTAATTTGTAATAAATTAATAACCAAATTTTATAGTTTTAAGAAGACTCAAAGGTTGTTTTCATCGATAAACTGTCGATAATATCCGTGGGTCTGTGTTTCAGTTCAATGAAGAGACAAGTTTGAAAGTTAAAAGTTTTAATTCTTCAAATTAAACTAATGATTTTGAAATGTCAAGCATAGGAAATAACAATCAACATTGGCAACTTTGTTGAACAATCTTTAACAGTTGATATTGTAAACTTGCTCAAATAGACCTTGTGTTGGATGTGCTGAAGATTGAGAGTGATGACGTGATTATGGATGCGTGTGTGCAAAATGTAGTGAAAATTGAGAATAAGGTGAGATGAATGCGTGTGTGCGTCTGATTTTGCTTCAGGAAGAAACAGGTGTCTGAGTGAAAAGTGATGGTTTGAATAAACTTAGGTTTTGTTGGAAAAGATACATCAAACGCTATCTATTGTGTTCTGCCTCACCATACGAGGACCCTCGTTCAGATCCGGAACGTCAAAGGACGATGTTTCATCCAGGACACACCTCGGCTGGCAGAGGAGACGAAGGTGTGCGGCGATCCGGTCCAGAGATGCCCCCTGGTACACGTTGATGATAAAGCATTTGCAGATGCGCTTTCTTAAGTTTAATTACTCAGAAATCAAAAGACTCTGGACAAGTCTGCGTTAGCAGTTGCAATTCAGCTATTCCTGTCTGGCTTGGCAGGAATAGCGTGGGGGGGGGGGGGGGGGGGGGGCGCAGCTCCGTTCCCCGTTGGCATTGTTCACAAGTCCTCCCTCTTTCGTGGTCAAACACCGAACTGAATCATGAACTGAAAACTTACCAAAAGCCTTTCTCTTCTCAAAGCAAATGTCCGTCAGAGCAAATGTGTTTTGGAGTTTACTGTGAGAGAGTGTGTGTGTGTGAAGGTCATTATAACATCTTCAAACATTATTTAATTAAGTATGGATTCATTATAGCTATGATTAACCAAAGCATAATAATCATTCATTTGATTAAAACACATTTATAATGAGTAAAATGGTAAAATGATTATTTAGCATTAATAAACAAAGGAAGCGTAAGACTCTTTATTATGACTAGCTTCCATGGGAACACATCTTCTGGCACTGCAGGTGTTCAGATGTTATGGTTTCTCCCAGACTCGCTGGCGTTCAGGTCTTAATCTGTGGGTGAAAGTTCTCAGCGACCCAGCTTTGACCCAGCTTGGCAAAGTATAACCTTTTGCACAGAAAACCCATATTTCCTCACGTTACAATTATATTAAATTAGTCCACAGTCATTTAAATTTGTAATCTGTGAAACATTTTATTTGTAATTCAAATAGTATTCCAACTTTTCCAAATGTCTTTGACAAATTTCTTGTCATGGTTTTTAGGAGAAAAGATTTCTCATTGGATTGGGGGTTGATAACCAAGGGACACCTCAAAGGGGGAGAGGCCAGTGGCAGAGAAGATGTGTGACTTGTGAGCATATTTGACCCAGGGTAGGTACAGGCTCCAGTCAGAGGAGTTTGAGGATGTGACGCAGCGGAGGGACGCTTCGAGCACTCGATTCATATTCCATGGAGACAAAAGACATAGGAAGTTTTCTGAGGGGAATGAGATAGCAAGTTTTAGAAAAATGGTCAATGATGGTGAGGATAGTGGCCATGCCTTTAGAATAGGTCAGACTGTTGAAAAAAATCAGTGCTATATGGGACTGAGGTAGGATGGGTAGATGATGTAACAAACCAGAAGGAGGGTTATTAAAAGGTAGGACACGCAAGAAAGTAGTCTCGTAGAAAAAGAATGTAGAAGTATTTGTGAAAGGACGGCCAACAAAACTTACAGGTGATGAGAGCAACATTTCAACTGATTCTTGGGTGACATGAGAACTTTGCTGTATTTATCAAGTGGATGGGTCTGGAAGGGACTGTGGTGGGAACGCAGGTCCAGTTAGGGAGTCCAGAGCCAGGGTCGGGCTCATCCTATTTGGGCCTGAGAAATTACATTCTATATGTCTCAAGTGAAGGCGCCCATTGAACAGTTGAGAGGAAGAATGGGGGCATGAGACTTGGGATCCCCTTCAGGAGAAAATTGGCAAGAAGAGCATCCGGATTAATGTTGTTATTGCCTGGGCAGAATGAAATGGAGAGGTTAAATGGTAGAAAACCAGAGACTAATGACAAGGATTGAGCTGTTTGGCTGACTGTAGTTATGCTAAGTTTTTGTGACCAATCCATACCTGTGTGTAGAGCCCTCCAGCCAGTGATGCCATTCCTGTTGCCTTCATTCAAACCCATTTTGATTATTCCTCCAAGGCCAGTTTGATGACTAGAAGTTCCCAATCCCCAACGTCATAGTCCCTCTCTTTGAAAGTTAGCTTGCATGAGTAGAAGACTCAGGGATGAAGATTTCCATCAGTGGCTGACCTTTGTGATAGGTCTGAATCCAAGGCACTGACTTCTAAGAGTAACTGCTTCAGAGGATTGGGTTTATCCAAAAAAAATTGCGCAGAAGCCAAAAGGGTCTTGAGGGTTTTGTAGGCATGGTCCGCATCTAAGGTTCTGGCAAAGTTAATCTTGGTGAATGTGAGGGCAGTTAGAGTAAAGGCAGTTTGGCTGTAGTTCTTGATGAAATGGTGGTAGAAGTTCATGAAACCTGGGAAGTGTTGAAGTTGTTTTCTGTTCTCCAAGGTGGGCCAGTCCAGGACAGCTTAGATCTTGTCTGGGCCCGTGCGCACCTGTCCACCCTCAAAGACTTATCCTAGGAAGGTAACAGATGACTTGTAAGACACTTTTTTCAGCTTTCACGTTAAAGTGGTTTTCAAGAAGGCATTGAAGGACAAGGTGGATGTGCTGTTGATGTTTTTCTAGTGCTTTGGAATAGATGAGGATGTAATCTAAGTAGACAAAATCAAACATTGTTTACCATGGCTTGAAATCTGGCAGCAGCATTGGTGAGTCTGAAAGGCATTACCAGGTTCTCATAATGTCCAAATGAAAAGCTGTCTTTCACCCATCGCCCTGGCGAATACGAATAAGGTGCATTACGAAGATCCCATTTGGTGAACAAAGTAGATCCATGGAGTCTGTCAAAAGTAGAAAAGATGAGTGGGAGGGGACATTTGTTTCTCACCAATATCTGGTTTAGCCCTGGGTAGTTGATGCAGGGCCTGAAGTAACCAACTTATATCGAGACGGAACAAAAGCCGGCTCCCAGGGGAGACGAGGATTGACAAATGAGGCCAGGAGATAGAGATTCTGTAATGTACATCTATGTGGTTTCTCTCTCGGGTCGGGAGATGTTATGCAATCAGCTTGATGGCGGAGGTGCTCCGGGCAACAAATTTAAATTGCAACCATATGGTATATAACGATATATGAATAAACAAACAAACATGAACAGACATATAAGAGGGGGTAAGGATGAGGGTTTGCGTTTGCTAAATACCTGGATGAGATTGTGGTAGATAACCAGAACATGGGTGAGATAGGAGGTTTCCGTCCTAATCTGGTTGGTAAGGAGTGGGTTGGTAAGCATGGCGGCCTGAAGACAGGTAGAATGACAGAATGAAGACCAGGAATCTACTCTAACCCCCAGAAACCCAAATTTAGAAAACAACTGAAAAATCTTATTTTAACCTTTCACATGTTGTTCTAGGAGGCCAGATAAACGGGCCTTTTTTACACATTTTAACAGCCAATAGTGTTGCAGAACTGAACTAGCCTAGTGAACTAGACCA